TTGGGTTTTTCCTGCTGTCTGTTACTACCACTGTACTGATATAACCTACCTGTTACCATAGCTTGTAAGTCCTGGACCTTAGCGAAACTGAGGTAACGCCGATGATTCCATACTAAGTTCTTGCTTGTATTGCTTATAGGAGGTAAGCATTAAGAATACCAATATATTACCTCCTGCAAATGCTGACTTCATCCTGTTTACATGTGGCAGTTTGTACGAAAACCTTTATCCCCTCCCCTACCCCTCGTAATTCATGCTTATGTCTTATCATGCAACAGATCGTTAGTAAACCTCATATTCCCCCAACCTGCTTCCCCTACTAACACCCGATGCACCTCGAAACCATCCGGGAAACATAGAAGGTGGGTAATCAAACCGTAATTCTAACAACCGCTTCCAGCACAGGATATTTGTTGACCTCCTTACAGTCTGTGAGTTGTGCAACAATTTTACCCTTCTCCATCATTTCAGGCTATAAACAAATAACCCCGCCTTAGCTTTGCACCCCGGACACTCCAGGTTCTGGCACACTTCCCAGTCCATATCGTATCCTCAGGGCTTACGGGGCAGTCTGGCGACTGGTGGGCATTACGCCGCGCCTTTTATTGTTATGCGTGGGGGGGGTAGTTGTGTGGCGCAGCGGTATAGTGAGGAACTTGCTCAGGATTTCCGCGCTCAGTAGGAAAGTGTGAGGAAGGTATGGTCAACGACAACGTTTTTCCCATCTTTACTTCCGCCTTAAACAAAACTGACGGTAAATCTAGGTGTATAAGTGCGGTTTCTGCCATCCAAAACCTGTACCAGGTTACAACTTTTCAACTGATTATATTTCTCTATTAAAGTTCTTCAATTATTAGTTTGAAAAAAGCCTAAACATCATTCTCATTAGCGTACCTAAAAATCCGGAGGTTATTTTGAACCAATAGTTTAGCTCAGTGGAGGCGTAGAATTACTTTGAAATGCTAATTCCTCCCACGGATTTTGAATGGCACAAACCATAAAACATGACAGAAATCTCCTTTAATCGGTCACCGCAACTGCCTCTTTAACTCGCGCATGTCCCCATTCCTCCTCACATGCCCATGATAACAAAGGAAGGACATCCGTAACGAACATTCTCAATAAACTGCTACAGGTCTACCACAATCCACCAGGTCAACAAAAATAATCCACAAAGTGCCCACAACTCCAAGAACTAGCTACAACACGCCAACGTCCACCTACCTCCTCTAACACCCTTCAGTCAATACTCAAATAGCCCACTTACCGCCGGGTAGTTTAAATCACCCTTGCGACTTTTCGGGTGGAGGAGTGTTCGATATTTGCACCATCTGAAGCAACAGTGGAATTTTTGCATTAGCTACGCGGTTTTCAGTTGTTAATATTCATCACGGTGGGGGGTATAATATCGTTATTTAGATTTAAGAATTCAGGGAAGATGGATGCTGGATGCTGGTGGTTGGTGTTGCTTCTACTACACCTGCCACCGCATTTTTAGAAATTATTCTCTTTCCAGCAGATTGAGCAATACCCTGACAAAACTTTCGAATACAGAGACGTAGGTTCATGGAGTTCCGCAACACGTTGCGGTCAACATTACAGCTTGATAGACTAAGCATAGCAGCACGAGACTTTATTTCCCAAGCCACTCAGTATACCGTTCCAATTTCCCCATTGCTCCAGATACTTTCCCCAAACCCCAGTTATACGGCTCTGGATGGGAATAATGAAAAAGAAGGTAATAGATAACTACATTGCATAAATCGCTAGCTCTTTGATCAACTTCCAGTTTGCGGGTGAATGAAAGCCCCTGAAAACAGAAAAGCAGCCCCGCGCCAGAAATCACCGACACCCGCCCGGAGATCGTCCAAGCCCCCGATGGTCAGAACAGTCCGCTCACCCCCCTCCTAATGTTCACATTGTTGTCTCATATTACCAATATCCTATTTAGGGGAGAAGGGAGGAAATTGGGTCATGCTAGGCTACTGATTGGATCTGTTTGCAAGTCCTCGGTCATTCCCAGTATAACAGATTTACCATCAGAACAGCGGCAGAGTAGTGTAGGATGAATTCTGAACTTGGCAGTATTCCGGAGTCATCAGTGCGGTGGCAGCTGCAAGGGGGAGTAACCTGACCGTTATGGAGGAATCACGAAAATAGGGAGGAACTTGTATAGTGGTTGGAATTTCGAGCTTCTCTATATAAACCCCCTTCTACCCTTAGACAGAAATAGCAAGCAATCAACGAATGGCAAACAGACTCTATTCTAAAAGCCATCACTCTTTTCTTTCCACACAACACGTCACTCTACTCCACATATCTCCGTCGGTGGTTCATAACATCACACCACCGTGATTCTCCGTAGACGCCCTTTTCCTACGGTGTCCACCTAAACCCCTCAATATCGCTATAATTTCTCTTACCGCCCTTCACCAATTAAACTCTTTCCGACAGAGAGTTCGAGTTGATTCCCACAGCACCACCATCATTACTATCCCATTATTCGCCATAGCATTCGTGATGACATCCCTGACGAAAAACAAGGTTTCCACCAGCCCTTTCTCCCGTATCCTAGACTACCGAAGAAGCACCGAACAAAAAAAATAAAAAAGCGAGAAACAGGAAATAATTTGTCTAGAAGCATATTTCTCCGACAAAGAGAGCGTCTAAAAATCCGAGTGAGCACTGGTGATTTACAGCGAGGACCAAGGATCAACCGGTCGCTTGGTGTCCCCACTCGGATCCCAATAGCGCAGGCATTGTAGCTTCCTTCTCCCCGCCCCCCCACCTTCCCCTCCGCGACGGACCCTGAACAACCATGTATTTTCTGGTACCTCCTTACAGTTCTTCGGATCATCCAGACTCAAACATAGCATACCACCCAATAGTCCAGTCGGTCTGTCCTCACCCAAAGACGGGACGGCCGGTGTCATTGAGGGCTGTGCCCGGGGCGGACGGCAGCGGCAACGTCCGCCCTAACCTCTGCTCGGGACGGATGGCAGGGCCTGATAGGTGTCTTGGCAGATATCCTGGCAGCCGTCAACCCCATGCAACTGCAGGCAACCTGCAGGTTGACTCCCGGGCCCTGTAGATAAGAATCAGGCTCATTTAGGGCGTACTGTATTGCCAACAGAGCCAGGGGGTCACCCTCAGTCACCTGTAGGCAACTTTACTTGCAGTCACTTATACTCAAGCAGGCCCTAACCGCCCCGTGCAGATACCTGTAATCGACGGCAGTCGAGATATCTGCCAAGACACCTATAGGGCCCTGCCGTCCGTCCCGGGCACAGTCTTCAATGATACCGTCCGTTCCGTCTTTGGGTGAGGACGGGCTGACTGGACTATTGGGTATGCTCCCCGGGGCCGGGGCCCTTAGGCACACTGAGGGGGACGGAGTTGTGTGTTTGGCGAAATCGAAGAATTTAGAGGTGTGATACTCTGGAACTCTAAAGCTTGAGTAACGGTAGCCGAGAGGGGGTATTTGGAATTTCCTTGCGATTCCTAAATTTTAATCCTTTGATGTACCACGAGAAATAATTTGCCCATCAGTATTTGTATGATAGTGGTTGATCGGAGATTGTGCATGATAACCCAGCGGAGCTTCGACAGAATAATTGGGATGATGATGACAACAAAATTGGTTATTTTTATGATTATAGTATTATCATATTATCATAAAATTTGCAAAGAACATAGATGTTGCAAAGAAAATATGATTGTTCTGATCAGCCCAAACCCCAAAAATATGACATATTTTTAGGCCCATGCCGAATACTCCCTTCATCTCAACATTTTTTCACGGAGAAATTTATATGACGCTATAAAAATCACCTCTGTGGCATAAAAATAACCGACCAAACAGGGCTTAAACTAATCAATGCATGCATTCAGAGGAACATACCAAAGTACTCATACCCAATCACTCGCTTGTCTTGGCAGCTTACTAAGCCATCGCACAAATTAACACAGGCGGTGTTTCCCAGTGTCCGGAACCATACCATTGCCTATTTAAGCACATATTTATACCTAATTATCATTGTATTGGTCTGCATCTATCCGCATTATTTGAATAATCTTATACGGTACCGGCTTTTTTTTTTTGGGCACTATCACAGGCCACACAGAACAGGAATAGGTACCCCCACTTCCAATACCACCTTTCTTTCTCCGCCTCAGGAGCTTTTAGTTTCGAATGTTCAGCAGATTTCTAGCATGTACTCGAGTACAGGCACAGTGTATTGGGCAAGCAAGATTATGAAAGACAATTGCCATTTGTGCAGTTTGCTATTCTGCATCTGTACGCCGTCCCGCTTGGCGGAATCGTACGTAGTGCCCTCGCACACCCCTTCCCGACAGGCATTCCCCCCACGCCTATTCACAGGAGACCCTGCTCTTTCGATCTATGCTATAACTCCAGGCGCGACTTGGTGGGCGTTCCACGAAATCCGCATCCGACGACATCTACTCCTTCCGCACACCTTAACCACTCCAATACTTGGATCCCGCCCCAAGACACACAAAACTCCCACCCTTGAATAAGCGCGCAAAACACTGCGAAAGCCGGCAGCCTAGGACGAAAAGGCCCCAATACCATCAGGAAAGGCAACTAATTACCAGCATTCGGGTTCTTGTGGTGTGCAGACTTTACAGGAGCGCCCTTAAACTCTCGCGACTCGCTCTCCATCATTCAAGCATCGCGAATATCCCTGTATTGTACGCCGCGACATCAGCCTGAAATAGGTCTAGCTTGGCAAGTTAACGGAATCGCGAAAGCCAGTTAATGGCATCCGGGCGCAGCCAAATGGCTCGGGCTATACCGTGTCGGGAAAGCACTAAGAATTCTTGAGAAATTTTGTCATTATATACCGAGAATATCCCAACCTAACTAAGATAGCGAATCGATACGGTAGGGGAACACCAGAATGCCTGTCATCCCTGAGCCTCTGATCATTCACGTGCATAGCCGAGAACAGTGCAGTTATGGGCACTAAGGATGAGAGATGTCAAACCCCCTCTGCTTGGCCCGCCGGCGATGGAAAGAAACTTGCTTTCGCCACAGCGCCAAGTGTTCGCCTTGCTTTTTTCGTACCTTGCCAATTAGGCTGCATAATCCCTATTACTCGAGTACTGTACAAGTGCACCGCATCCCAAGTAGACTTCTGTCTTCTCTAACAAGGCCACAGTCGACCGGCAGAAGCACACAGACCCGAACTGTTGTAACAACGCCTGCGCAGCTTTCCAAACGGATCCAAGACCAGCAATCAACGGCGGTGCTAAAACAATCACTTAAGTACCCCATCCAAAGCTACATCTGCTGGTGCCTAGTAGCCCACACCACAACCACCCTCTACAGTACAAGTACTGTACAGCGGTGGACACAAAAGTGCAAACATGTCGTAATTCTCGACAACACCGAAGGCTCACGGGCGATAACCTTGCCGTGCGCCAGGCAGGTTGGCAGGCGAGAGAAGGAAAAATGAAAAAGCAACTATCGACATCTCACATATCCTTCCTCCTGCGCTAGACTTAATCAAGGGGAAGAAAAGACGCAAGCAAGGCGGACCGGAGCTCTGGTGCAGGCTGCAGTAAGGGAATCAAGCAGGCGAGCATATATGACATTCCAGCGACTTCAAGATCTACTAACCAACCAGAATGCGAAGAAAATTCAAAGATTTAGGAATCTATCTATCTGATGCGATCACCGATTATTTTGCGTTCCTAGAATCTGAAGCAAACTGGGCTGCGCGTGCGATGGGGATCGAGTATGAATAGAGCACTCATTGGTCTGAAGGAGTGTGATGGAGGGAAGGAAAAGGCAAGTGAAAATGCTTGAGAACATCGATATATGAAGGAACTAATACCCAGGAAATCGCTGAACCGATAAAAGTAAAATTTAGATACCGAACCCTCCAACACCACCCGCTCTCAGAGAGAGAAAAATGAACAGGAGAAAAACAACAAGCCACCGGGCATCAGTCTGTGGCCCGGGAGCGAAACCCCCCCGCCCTGCCGGCAGACCGGGGAGAGATAAAATATCCATGAGAAAGAATGACACCCAACTCCAAACCGAGTCTCCACCAGGGAATCTTCAGTGGCCTTGTCGTGACGATTTACGAGCAGCGCGTTCCTGACGCTTCCGGCTCCCGTTTTTATTCGTCTTCTCCCCTGTTGGATAGTGGCCCTGACCTTGCCGCGGATGCTCTTGCGTGTTTAAACGACCCGTCCAAGCAGCCAAATCGGTGCGACCCGGATCGGATGATCGACCAATCGTATAGGTTTGCCGATGAATGAAGTTTTGAACAGGAGAATTTTCATTTCCGCCATCTGCCCGGGTCTGACCAGGATCCTGGTTGGGTCGGGATTGAGTTCGAGGGTGGTTATCCTGATCGGGACCGCGGTTGCCGATGTGGTCTTCATGAGGATCCTGGCTCTGACGAGCTAGGAGATACCCGATCTGACTGGGCGCATGGGGAAAGCTGGGTGGAGTACCTAAATCCCCAGCAGGATGTCGGGGACGCGCGCTGTTTGGGCGACCGGTTGAGCGAGTGTTTGAGCCACTGGAGAATTCTGGGAAACCCGGGTAATTTGGGGAACTTGGGTCATCAAAATAACCCTCACCCATAAGATCACGGTCGAGGCAATTCCCACCGTCGGCCCGGTTTCTCTCACGCCAATCGGCATTCCTAGGCCGCCCCCCCTGCCGCATCTCTAGCCTAACCGCTCTCTCTACCTCCAGTATATGTTTTCTCTCTCGTTGTATAATCGCTACAGCGCTCTGGTCCAGATACCCCATGCCATGCTCACTACGCAGCGCAGAAGCCTCTATGACCGCATCGATGCCGAGGTACAAAAGGCTTTTTCCCTTAAAAAACCTCCCATCAAAGTCCTCTTTTATCTCCAGCACCGGTCTGCCATTCGAAATCGTTGGGGAAATTGGCAGGAAGAACCGCTGATGTTCCTCGGCGACCGCATCCCAACCTTTGTACCCTTGGGTAGTCGAAGACCTAACTCTTAGCAAGACCACCTCCGGGTATATTGGTTCAGCTGGATAGGCAAAAGGGACATACATCAGGCGAACATAATCACCCAACTCCTCGACAACAATCCACGGACGTCTCTTCCTATTGTTGTTGGGACCTTCAACGGAGTTGAGGCGCTCCCTGTCGACATCCTTCACCGTCGACTTTGGCTTACCCGTCCAGAATATCGTGCCGAGGGTAGGAGGAAGGAACCTTGGGGGATTCTCTCTAGCAGATTGTTCCGAAATGTTGAGCGGTCCCTCACCGCCGTCCTCAGTCATTGACCGGTGCGTTCCATTTTCTATCGCTAGCTCACCCATCACCGTTTGTGTGGCCCCGCCGAAATGCAGATCCATGTATGTATAAAAATATTTGTGTATTAATTTTATAGAAAGATGGGTAGATGAGTGGGTGGGTGTATAGGTATCTCATTCGTTAAAGGAGTTGGTGAGGGATGTGGGACGGGGAGGAAGCGTGAGTTTAAATGCTTTCCACGAGAGCGACATTCAATTTGGTGACAAACAGAGGAGTTTCAATGGTGCCCCCCCGATCTCACAAAAAATACTATCGGGGAGAGAAAAAAAATTCCAGGGCAGAGACGATAGAGAGAGAGGGAAATGAAAGGCTATACAAACAAATTACTTTCAGAGGTTTCGAGATAGCAGGCGTCCAACAACAATGAGCACGAAACATTGAAGCATAACTTATCATACCCGGAGAATCAGCCTCCTCCACCTCTTCTCATACCTTCGATCTGCCTTCGGCTTCACCCATTATCCCGATTTTACCCTGAATACCAAACCCTCCGCCATTGCCGGAAAACCCGCCATTATGATATGATACTCCAGGCACGCCTACCAATTGGACCTTAACGGCAAACCTCACGACATCCACTCTCCGCTAACGGTTGAATAGCTTTGCGCAAAAGGCTGTTTTCCCAAGGCATGGGCCGGTTTCAATGACCCGTTCTGACGGCAGTTAGGGTTAGCCCAAGGCGTTTGGCGGAGTGGTCGAGGTGTCATAATTATGATACAAAATAAGCTTCTTACCCACTCTTCCTCGTATCGCCAAAGTAAGCTTATCAGCTATCATACATTAGACCAACGGAAATCCACCGATCCACCCCCACAACGGTTATCGATCAATCCGCATCGCCTGTGGTCGTTTCAGGCAGAAAATATGTGCAAGTGCTGTAAGATATGTCCGCCTGTGGTCTTGAAACACACATGAAGGGCCACAACTCAACAACCGCAGGCGTCCGAAACCCCCCAAACCCGGATTTCTAATACTCACGGAGCCAGCCAAATAGTCCTGGCACGCCTGCAGAGCAAAAATTCTCTGCGGATATTTACGAAAGTTTGCGTGAAGTTCCTCCCCCCGAAGAGGGGGGGGTCCCGGGCTTCCCAGAAAGGAATGCCGTTATTCTCCCGGCACTGTGGTCAAAGGCGAGGTCTCGCAAGTCAATTGACTTTCGAGTGCGGAGATGTGATGCATTTCTCAGTCGTTCCGCTGCCTGTGTAATCGCGGTATGATCCGCTGTTGAATCTGGGAATCACCAGGCATGATTCCGCCCCGAGCCCGCGTTGCGGTGCTGCCCGTGATTGAGCGGTGCCTGCGGAGGCAGCTACTATTACATACCGCCAAAGTCCAGGCCTTTTGTTCAGATCTTAGCGACATGCAACGGCGGTCGTGATCGCAAACACTGTCCAATTACGGGTAAATTCTCTACCTGCAATATAAGTAGTGTTGGAGGTGTGAATGGACTCGTCATGGAGAATGTGGACATTCGCAACTAGGCACGGTTTTTTATCCATCATGAATTCATTGACATTCTGTGTGGAATTCTTGTACCTAAAAAGGCTGCAGGATTCATGATGGAAGTAGAGAATAAAAAGAGGAGAAAGCTGGAGGCCGAGAGCGAACATTAGACATTGATTTTCTGTCGTCATCATCATTGATCCTTCTTTCCTCTGGGTATTCCTTTCTCAGATGAAATTGGAAATTCGGACAAGCACTCTTGTTACGGCCATGTTGCTGTCAGTTGTTGAAGATCATTAAGGCATCAATTGTACAAGCAGAAATATGAAGAATCCTCTGCACCAAACACCCACCAAGGAACGTCAGATCCTGAGAGGAGCAAACAGTACTGCACAACCCACCTGATTTCAAAACTCAATCGAAGAGAATAGTCCTCTTATGCCGCGCGGAGCTATTGCGAACAGAAAAACCCTTCACCGCAGCCCTCCCTCCCAATATCTATCGTACTGGTATGTCCCACATTGGGCTTTGAGCGCAAGTGAAAGCACCCAGATCTTGGACAACTCCAGTAACAATATGATCGGCGTACCGCGGAGAAACAGGCTGTAGTACCACGAAAAGTGCAATACCGGTTCGTAAGAACCCGCCTATGCACGACGTTGGAGTTGCCTGTCCCAGCAAGGCCGGTTGTCGTTTTCACTTCACCCGCGCGCCCAACCACTGGCAGAGAGAGAGGTGCTTCACTGCACCCCGCTAATGAAAACGGGGAAACTACAGACGTCCCTAGACCTCGATCTCGGTACCGGTATCCCAGTTATCGCGATAAAGTTATTGACGGCTATCAGCATACCGTATCGTCTTGAGGGACCCGTTTGCAATACCTATGGTATCATAGAACAATAACTCTCAGGAAGCGTCTAGAATAGGCCTACTGGTAGGTCCGGCCACAAAGGCCCAAGTGAAGGCTCCTCTACCGCGAACCCAGGCCAACGGCAAAGTAAATTATTCCCGGCGATCTGGCGGCAGGCAAAACCTTGTTGGGTCCATGAGGTCGTTGGCCGGTAAGGTTGGCCAAGAATATGCTTATTTGCTTTCCGTTGGTGGTCAACGACTTACTAATAATAGTGCCAAGCCAGGCACGGTTTCAGGCTCAAACATGAGGCTTAACTAGCTCCTCGGCTCCACGATCCGGTCGAGTATCAACAGTTCCTACGCTGCAAAAGTCCTATCATACGACGAGTCCGTCGATCTTAATTGCCCGTGAGACTGCCGTTGTTGGGAGGGGGTATGGGTTTACTATTTGTGGTATCATATAATGGTATTTCGTTTGCGCTTTTGCTCTTTGGAATTTTCTGTTTGGGAGACAGCTTGGCGTGTGGAACCTTTCATAATAATATTGTCGTAATAATAATATTTTGATGAGACATTTCTGTATCGTCTTTTGAGATCATTATTCGATAACACAAACACCTCTGGGAGGGAAGCGATTAAATGATGTTTCTTTCCCAACTCAGCCGGGTTTAGTTTCACGGTTATCCCACCGGGCCAATTTTCTGCAGCTTATCCTACTGTATCTGTGGAGGCCACCGCAGGCGCAGCTCGGGCGAGCACATCACCTGCGAAAAGAAGGTCCATCAAAACAATACCGATAGTCGGGCACATTAGGTGGGCATGATGATATTACAGTTGAGAGATTCTTCACTAAGTTTTGTTCTTTTGTGGCATTGTAATTTAAGGCACCAGTAATCCTCAGATTCGGTTGATGCACTACAATACAAGTTGTCCTACCTCAGTGCTGCAAAAAACTCTTGGAATTCCCCAATCCCCGGCAGCCCGCAATCCCCGGATCCTGAGTCATAAACTCCCGAAAGGAATTAGCTTTTTTCCAGAAACAGTGCAAGGCAGACCCAATGGACTCGTCGTATCCTGTTAATCGATATCCGCAATGCTGTAAACCTGTCAAACTCAACCCATCGCTAGCTAACGGGCTGACTCCCGCCGGTAACCTGACCGGGAATCTCAAACTTTTCACGGTATGATAAAGTTCCAAGACCAACCGCCGGCGCATGTCCTGTAACCGCCGCCAAATACCTTCACAAAAAAAGCGACACCAAGAAGAAGGGTTATATCTCATGATACTCGCAAAAAAAAACATTTTCAAGGGAAAATGAAGTTCCTATTTGGGTAGCTCTTGAACAACTGAGACTGCACGAGACCATAATATTATGTTGGTGAGTAATTAACAGATTGTCGTTCCAGAAGCTTTTGAGTCTCTTGAGACCCGCAACTCCTCTCCCAAGGTTAACCTTCTTAGGAAGCTTTTCGCCAATTTTGATAGCAAACAATTCTTATATAATTCCATTAAAGTTGCTGGAAGCGAACTCGTATGATCAGGTCGTTCCCCAATCCTCTCGGTATTAGTGGTCTCGGCATATATATAAGCACATAGTAAATTTTCCTCATCTAGAGTGCTACCATAGAAAATTTAATGCAAGAAATGGACCGGGGACATTCATTATCTTGGAGAAGGGGGATGAGGCAACCATTATGATGTAGGAGTCATAACCCTATAGCATCATATATAATTTTCTTCCGGCAAAGAAAGTCTCATATTCAGTATATAGCTGGAGTCACTAAGGACAACCACTATGATAGGGCAATATATCATAATGTCACAGACACCCCACAGCTTGGGTTGCCAACCAACCAACCCTTATTTACAGTGGTGATAACGAGCTTCACTCTTGGTGTTCCCACTCAACACCTTGTGGCTTGAAATTTGATGCCTCTTTACCAAAGGTCACTCCCCTCACCCGAAACAAATTCATTTTATCACAAACCAAAATACTTGATTATCACCGCATCAAAAATACTCGTCCTACTTCGTTATACCGCACTGTGAGCAACCCCTGCCCTCCCACCACACAGCCATCATAGAGCTGAAAAAATACTACAATTACACACAACGCGCGTCAGCACTTCCCCACCCCACTCCAATCTAATTAGGCCCACGAGCGATATTTTGACGTTTTCTCTCTCTCCCAATGTGCCAGCCAGCACTCTACCGTATTAGCTCGGGTAATCGGGTCTCGTGCTTGGACGTCCAAGATCCTCCTTGGGTATCTGCAAGGACTGCCCCTGCAGCCCCAGTTTAAGACAAAGGGAGGTGGAGGAGGGCGGACATGACTCGAGTACGAGTACGAGTAAAGGCGCCTCGAATGTCCTGGCGCAAGATTTGGGTCATTCAGGTTCTTCCGGCACAGAGCTGCAGATTATTGCACTTTGGATGATCCACAAATCACGTGGTTGATGCCTGTTCCCCCCTCCCCCCCTGACACACTCCCACCTTGGCCCGAACATAGCCTGCCCCGGCCTCCTCGTACCGATTGCGTTTATGTCTCACATCGGTCGCCGGATCTCCGAAGTAAACGGAAAAAAACAAATGGTGGCCATCTTTGGATCAAGTCTTTATCCTTTTTTCACTTCCGGGTGTTTACTGGTAGGGCACTGCCCGCTACCGTATTACCTTAGCTCGCCGGTTTGGGTGTATCTCGATGCTACTGTACCGGTACGGTGGTCTAGGTTCTGGTCTCCATTTTGAGACAAATGCTCTCAAGATAGCATAGTACTAGTATCATACCGGTACTGTGCTTGGATAGGGGAGGAATGGAAAGATAGTTTCACCTGCTGCCAAGAAGCCTTAAACTCTTATCAACCTACCACCAAATATGCTTGTCCAAGAAGATCAAATTTTGCCAAGGCGCTACCCCGTTTGACGAGCTAATAGGGTATTTTTTTTCCAGGGTGCTGGTGAGGCTGACAATCACCGTGTCACACACTAGAATGCCACCTCGTATCCTATCGAGGGGTTAACCAGTTGGTGGGACTGGAGGTCGTCGTTGCGATCTACCACTGCCCACATTGAAGCGGACTGTTTGTCCGCAGGGAGGAACTTTATCCTGCTTGCACAGTGCATAATTTGCGGTATGATGCCCACACAGTGCTCGAGCACAGTTACAGTATAGCGCAGTCCTCAAGTATTCGGGTATGGTACTCAAGTACCGGTAAATACCCTACAGTGCAGTGCTGCTCGGGATGTACGGTAAAATCCATGTCTGACCTGAAAGTTCAAAGGGAGTACGGTAGCTCTCGATTTTCGAGAGCCCTGCATGGTCCTTACTTTTCCCCCTCAAGCTTAAGCAAGGGAGGGGGTCGAGGTCTCAGCTGGCACGCTTCCCGGTTAGGGTTACACAAGAAAGTAGGCTCCAACACCACGTATGGTGCCGTCATATTCTTCTGGGGAACAGTTGGATGGTACCCCCGCACTTCAACTTTCTTTCCTGTCCGTCCCTTGCTGTTAGTGTTAATACCGGTACTGCACTGCCTTACATGCATACCAAATAGGTTCGGCACGTATATAACTTCGAGCTCTTTCGCTCAAAGTTAGCCTTTAACCATCACCAACACCTCAACATCAACGTCAACACCATCACCACTGTCACCACCATGAGTATATTAAATATTGGGCTCGTTAGCTCGGCAGTTTATCTGCTCGGCGCGTGGATGGCGTACCTTGTCCTACTCATTTTCTATAGACTCTCTCTACACCCGCTGCGACGCTTCCCCGGGCCAAAGATGGCAGCGGTGACGGGGTGGTATGCAGGGTATTGGGATTTATATCGGGGTGGGCAGATGGTGAATCATTTGGTGGATTTGCACAAGGAATATGGTTAGTCTCGGTTTACTTATTTAGACACGCTCGGGTAATCGGGTACTAACATACTGTAACACACTCTCCAGGTCCGATAGTCCGCTGCGAGCCGAACCATGTAAATTTTCTCCACCCCCAACTCTCCTCCATCTCAGCCAACCGCTACAGAATTGCACTAAACACAAATCTACCAAACAGCTCCACTTCTCCTCCCCAGAAGTCTACTCCACAATTTACAACGCCACCGGTAAACTTACCAAGGACCCAAACCTCTACCTCAGTTTCGGCGCGAATGACTCAGTCTTCACGCTGGTGGATCCCACCATCGCGCGAACCCGGCGAGAGGTGATCTCACCAATGTTCTCCCGGCGAATGGTGCTCTCGCTGCAACCGCTTATTAGCGGAAAGTTCCGAAAGCTCTGTGGTAAATTCTCCAGCTACGCGGACCGTGACGAGGCGGCGGATATGGCCTCTGGGTTCCGCAGCGCGTCGATAGACATTATTACGCAGTATTGTTATGGCGAGTGTCTTGATTCCCTGGATGTGGAGGGTTTCAAGCATGATATATTGCTGTCAATTAAAGCTACTAGCAAGGCGTTCTGGGTGGTCAAGTACTTCCCCATGGACTGGATACTTACCTTGCCGGCCAATCTCACTTTACGACTAATGCCGGAACTAAAGGGGTTTTTAGCTGTCAGAGACGTACCACCCCCGCTCCCTCGGCGTGAATGAGCGAATGAATGAATGAAGTTGACGGGAGCGCATACGTGTGCGTTTGTAGAACATAGAAGCACAGGTGAAGCGTTACATGAAAAACCCGAGCCTTCTCGAGAAATCCTCACACCCAACGGTATATCAACGCTTCCTAGACCCAGATGTTAAAGGCGGAATCCCAAAGGCCAGTGCTCTCGCCGACGAAGCTCAGAACTTGTTTTTCGCTGGGAGCGATACCGTTGGCACAACGCTGGCTTTCGGAACGTACCATATCCTAACTACACCCGGGTTGCAAGAGAAGCTGTTTGCAGAGATATGTCAGGTATGGCCGGTACTTGAAGAGGAACCTACGTATGATCAATTGGAGAAGTCGGCATATCTTGTAACTCCCCCGCCCTCCCTACTCCCTCCTCGAAAGGCAAGAAAGCCCTAAGAGACAAGTTCTAATGAGACAGTTAGACCGCTATCATAAAAGAAAGCCTACGAATAAGCCACGGAGTCGTAACACCCCTAACTCGTGTAGTCCCCGCTTCGGGCATGACAATCCAAGATCAGCCCATCCCCGACGGAGTCAGTACACCCCCCTCCCCCTACCCTTCAACCCTTGACCTCCTTCCCCTCTCCACAAAACTAACAACCGCTAGACCGTCGTATCAATGGACGTGCCCACAGTCCACCTAAACCCAAATATATTCCCATCGCCGAACACCTTTCTGCCAACCCGCTGGCTAGATTCCAACGCCAAGGATTTAGACAAGTATCTTGTGGCGTTTAGTAAAGGGTCACGAGCGTGTATTGGATCGAAGTAACCACTCCCTCCACCTTTCTTTTCTGGCTTCCACAGGAATTAATGATGATAGTCTCGCTTGGGCCGAGATGTATATCGGCTTCGCGGGAGTATTTCGCAGGTTTGAGATGGCGGTTTGGGAGACTAGGTACGTTGTCCTTAAGTAGTTTGGATGGAATAGCGGCTGATAAAGGGATAGTAAGGAGGATATGGAATGGATGGATTGTTTCACGCCGATCACGAGGGGGGACTTGAAGGTGAAGTTTAAGGTCAGAGGGGAGTAGTTAGGAAGACGAAGGAAATAGTTGTACAGTACTAGTCACTCTACTCATCTAATTTTCTTTTTCAACAACACGATTCATGGAATGTTCAAGATATTTCTCTGGACCGTTGGGGGCGTGATTGGTGGTGTAGTTCCCCTCTCGGAGCGTCCCGTGGCATATACCCATGCGGTGTGATTATTATTACGTCACGGCGTATCCTGACTCAAAAATACCAGTATCCCAAGATTTGTTGAAAATGAGGACCCACTGTTTGCATCCCCCGAAAGATACGGATGTTGGGCATTAGATTTATACAAACAAGTTCCATAGAGTATCTTAAATACTTCAAGAGCTCTGCACTAATATGCTACGCCCATAACCGCATCCCCTTCAGGCGAGCGGGCCACCGTTAGCGCATGCCTAGCCTTCACCCAACAGTCTACACACAAAATACACAATAATATATTACGATAGTACCTACAACGCTACACCGATATCTATCAAAGCAAGGTTCTCAAGGAGAAATCCAAGAAATTCTTCGCCCGATTTATGCTTGGACGCCAGGGCAGCCGTCCCGGGGGTGGATAGATGGAGTGCCGTTTAGTGCTTGTCGATATATGTACAGTATCATAGGAAAGTGGAAAAGGTGAGGAGATGGAGCGTCAGATATCGGCACTTCAATCGTGGGTTTAAATTGCCATCCACGCAGTCAGGGGAAGAGCTTGGGATTCCGTTTGCTAGCATTGAATGGTGCTAGCTTACTGTACTTGCACTGTGCTCGAGTACTGTTGCCGATTCTTTGGATGTGGCGACTGTGCGGAGGGGCGGCAACGACTCATTAAATTACCGCAGCCTTGCTGAGTTGGCGACGTCTCAGTATTACCAAGACTTTTGCTTGCTTACTGTGGCTAGTGAACAGTCGTATGGAATTGATATCCGGTGCATAGACTACGGTGATCGCGAACCGCCCCAAGACATCAGCGACCGAAGGCAGAACTCGAGCTGTCATTGGAATGCGGTAGCCTGAAGGACGGGGGTTATCCGAACTACCGCGTTATCATCATACTCCCTGTCGTGACTCACTTCTGTACCAGTTGTCACTGAATATCACTCGGTTTGGATTCTTGGCCGAATTATCCTCCTATGTTCGGTAGTAACCCACCCCCCCTCTCACCCAATTTCGGCAAACTTTATCCCATCTGCCGGCTTAGATATTATCCCAATTTTCTCATCCCTTTAGTGAATATCTTTTCTCACTGGATTGGATGGTATTCGCGGATGGCCCGATCCTCGCCTACGGTATAATACTGTGGCTGATCCACAACTACGCCCCCTCGGGCTGGGCAATTTTGTCATCGTCCAGCTGTTGATTTTCACTGTGCGGTAGTGCCAGAAGCCACATCGTACGACAGTGTCTGAAGGAAGTGGTGCATATATATAGATCATTCTCAAATACCGTAATAGACTGGGCGAGAGGATGTCTCATCAGCGATGAGTTGCGTCGGTTTTTGGAGACTGCAAGTTTGTTTTAGGTATTTCGTATAATATTATCATAGCTTTTTTTTTTTTTTTTTTGGGGGGGGGGTTTAGTCAGGAGAGTGGCCGTGAAAAGTAACTGAAGTTCTCACAAACGAGCAAGCAAACCAATGCAGCAGGGAAGTTAGATTAAACTACGAGGTGCAGGTGAATTATCATTATGCATATCTCTTCAAGGGCTGTCATCATAGCCCTGCTTGTTTTGGGTTAGAATACTTTGACATTCCCGGATATGCGGCTGCTTGACTTGCCAGTAGCTGGGATGAGGGTGACGATGGGTGATAGGAGTAAGTTCATAGAGTAGTAGTAGAAATGACAAATTGGAGCTGAAGGAGTACTTGTGGTGAGATTAAAAATCCGAACACCAGAGTGCGATGCAAATAAATAAATAAATAAATAGATAAATAAATAAAAACAAACAGAAATGTAAGATTTTTATTAGTATTCTAATACTACTTATTTCTTAAAAACAATCTACTAGTATAAATGTAGCTTATGTAAAGAAAAACTATGTCATGGAAAACAACATAGTTTTTACAATACTATAGCTTCTCTTTTTGAGATTGCTATTACCATGCAGTCATTGTAAATTACTAAAAGGTAATACATGAAAGCAAATGGACTTCTCCTATCTGTCTTAGTACATGTCCCTCCCACCTGCCCACCTATATTTCCATCCCACCTCTTCCTATAAATTTTCTTCCTGCTTGTATTAGTATATTCCCTCCCACCTACCCACCTATATTTCCATCCCTCCTACTCTTATTTTATTTTTTCCTGTCTGTATTAGTAAATGCCCTCCCACCACCCACCTATTTTTCCATCCCACCTCATAAATGTTATTCCTGTTTGTGTTAGTAGTTGCCCGCCCACCTGCCCACCTATGATTCCATCCCACCTGTTATTATAGTATTATTTCTGTTTTTATGGGGGAGGATCCCTTTATATAGGCCTTCTTCAGAGATGCCAAGTCAGGTCGGCAAAAAAAATAAAAAAATAAAATAAAAAATACTATTGTCGTAGCAAAAGTATATGGTTTAGGGCTTGATATCGACAACGTCAAGACCAAAATATCACCCACTACCTTCAATAGCCTTTATCCAGCTAGAATACAACCCTGCGGACGGCAAGAAAGGCCAAAAACTCAAGCAGATTGCCCCCCGCCCCCCGATACTCTTCTCTCGTCTCCAGACCAAACAGGATAGAATATTCCGTTCATCCACCCTACCGGAATCCCTGCTCCGAACCTTCAAAGTCAAGCTATCACCTACCCTTGAAGAGAAGTCGTCTTCACACACACACTCACTCACTCACCGCCAGAGGACCCTTTCCCTTTCACCCCATCTCTACGGACCAGCACACACGACGATATATATACAGATGAGCGGAGCTCGGCCAAATTCTACTCCTCGAGTTCCAACTCGCTCGTCTGGATCCGGCCTAGTACTTTGGTACCGAAGTCTATCAGCTATCAAAAATGCTTAGTGATTCGAGAGACAAGTTCCCGAGTAATTAAGACACTGCAAACCAATCCAGAGCCTTAGATTTTTGATAGTTTCCATTGCTCTATTGGTATCTCAAGCTTACTATTGTTTTGGAGGTATCTAGGTTACTATCCTCACTAGGAGTAATTGTATTGCGATAGGCACGCCGGGGCCGGGTGCGGATTTTCTCCGACATCACGCGAAATGACCTTGCACCCATTCCTCAAAGGTGGCCACGGACTACCACGCAATAAACCGCACAATGCTCGACTCGCCCACGTGCCGGTCAACTCAATTATCATATCTACCCATTCAAAATTACTAAAACAACATATTACCCACTCCGAGCATACCCACTCACAAACTCCCAAGCCCCACCATCACGGCCCCCAAAACCAGGGTAGTCAACAACCCGACACTCCCCCCGACCCTAACGCCATCATTCTTGGTATCCGCCTCCGTTCCATTCCCACCCGTTGAATTCGCCGCCCCGACGGCCCCCGAGCTGGAAGAACTGGAGGAAGAACCCCCAGTGGCACTCGAATCCTTCAAAAACGGGTACCCGCTTGTGTCCAGCCCCTTACAAATCTTCCTCGCGTCGGCAATATTAATATCCGCGGTATCGTTAAACACCGTTTCACCAACGACCCAAGTGAACACGGAAGCCTGGGTCTGGCAATTATTTTTGCAGAAGGCATCGATCACTTCCGGCGTGTTCTCGGTGTCGTCGCTGGAGGCTGTGTACATGCCGTTGCTGCCATCGGCGTAGCAGAGCGTGCCTTTCTTCCTGCAACCCTGTCAGCAGCACATTCAAGGCCGGAGGGGGTAGATGGGACAGGGGAGGCGTACAAATCCTTCATACAAGTCGGCCAATACAAATACTGGACAAACATTATTTTCGTATCGATTAGTGAAGCGATGGTCTGTTGGCCAATGCTGGCTTTCCTACCGACGTCCTTATCGGTGCAGGACTTGCGGACATCGTCGCGCCATTTTTGTAGACCCAGGATGCAAGTATCTGTGCATAGGGCTTTGAGGGTGCTGTTGTTGAATTTTTCCTCCTCGGAGGATTCGTGATTGAAGGCGTTCAGAAGCCATTCGTCGCACGGGAGGTCCTGCGCGTACGCGCTTCCGCAGGATTCGGAGATGGAGGTGGCGGGGATAGATCCGTCGAACCAGGGCTCGTCGTCACCCGGGTGGGTGAGGGTACTGTTGTAACTGATTGTGGCGGTGGCCAGCGTTGCCGTGCCAAGGAGGGTGAGGAAGACCGTGGGGATCATACTGGATGTGGCGCCGGATATTCGAATATTTGGTATATTGAAAGAGTGAATCAATGGATGAATGAACGAACGAATGGATGTAAGATCTACTTGCAAGTACCGCAAGGTAAGGTAAAAGAGCGACTAACGATAGAATATCGTGTGGATGAATGGGCGAGAAAGCGGTGGAGTAAAAGAGAGGAATTGGAAGGATTTATTAACCTTAAGTCGGCGAAATTGCACCTGCTATATGCATACAGATCTGGTGGGGGCGAACCTTTCTACTTGAAAGAACCTGGTTTATAACTTTCCATGCTAGGCCGCTTGCAGAGAGCCCGTTAGCAGCTTGGGTGCTGGGTGATTCCATCTGGTTGGTTGACTCATCGTGGATAATATTCCCGGTGTGGTCATAGTGGAAAGATCCCAGTCTTTGCGAAATGCACCACAATTGCGGTACTGTGCCACCGGTAGTACTCGCACGTACAGAACTGTGCCGCAAGCTTTACTGCGCCGTACTCGTACTCGTAAGTCAGAGCCCCCGTGCAGTACGGTACGGTAGCTGAGGTACTACCCTAAACACAACTCAGAGCACTCTGCTACAACAATTCCAATCCCTCAACCACTCCAAACCTCCTCACCATCCTTCTCCTTCATAACGCCGTACGCTACTGCAAAGTACGACACCTCACAACAGATATGAAGCGCCTTCGCCACTACCTTTACCCCTTCCCGTATTTCGCTACTGGCCTGCTTCTTGCCCACTCGTTGGGGAGGGAAGGGAAGAGGAAAAAAAACAAGCTTGATTCCCTCCCCCACATGCTCATTGAATGGGGACCTGCATTAACGGGTACCATACACCCTTATGCCCCAGGACTTGCGGGGGGGTCGTTGAAAATTAGAGACTAGCGAGATTCTTCTCCCGGTGGTAATTTGTCTAAAACGGTCATCAACTTGAGAATTGGACGCCCTTGAGTGTGATTGAAAGTGGAAGTAGCTATCTGGAGCTTGTATGATATCCTAAGAACACCCGAGAATGACTAATACCGGTAGAAAGGTGGGAAATTGGAATTGGAAATAGCTCAAATTTATGCAAGTCTATTGAGATAATGAAGATTCCCTCTAACCCCTGTTTCTCACTTATTCAATTGGGTCTAACTCCAAAGCAGCTGGCCTAGGTCTTTCGACTTTTTTAATACTCATATTGTGTTTCCTTCTAGGCAATATGGTCGTCGGATCGAATAATCCGTAGATCGCAACTGCCGGTTTGTGGTTTGTAAGAACCCCCCCAAGTAGGTTAAGTACGTACCACAAGCCTGTGCACGCCCTGTGATTGAGGGTGATGTGAGTTTGTTAAGTTCTCTGAACGGCGGCTTAAGCGAGTTATGTACTCAAGTACCGTAAAACTGTTACGATTCGCTATCTCAGAACTTGGTGGTGTATGACGAAAACCGTTAGGGAGGTCTTGGCTTGCCCTATTGAGTGAGTGATCAGCAATGACGAATGAGACATATATTTGAATTTTTGATATGTTAGACTTCAGACAAGTTTGCAGAGTAGGAAAAATTTATAAACAAAAATAAATTTAACAAATTCTATTGTATTATCATCATCATTATCTACAGGAATGTCAGCAGTTGCATCTACTACTTGATAGTCATTGTGCCAATCCCCAATTTCCAAGTCCCCAAATTACTTGATATCAAGCTCAGAGTCACAACTTCCATCGACCAGAAGAGATAGCCCCACCTTCTGGAACACATGATGTATTATATTACCTTTTTCAAGATGAAACCTGTAGTAGGCATTACCAACACATGAGGTGGTGAGAATGTGGTGATTGCTAACACTCCAGTGGTGAAAAGCCTCAGCACTTTCAGCCTCGAATATGGCCCTATCTGTAAGCTCTCTCATGATTTCTTTAAAAGGCTTATTAACGGAGACATCTAGGGGCTGAATGAGACTAGTGCAGCCACCAGGAATAAGTGAGGGGGTAATGTTGTGTTGGTGCAACTTCTCGAGTACTGCAGGGGTTTTGTGAGATCCCATCAGGTCTATGGCGAAAAGGGTAGGCCGTCCCCCCAAAACAGGGGTCAGGTAGGTATCAATATAGTGTAAGAAAAACCAAACATTCATATAGGCTTTATTGTTAAATTCCACCTCTATACTAGGATGGTACTGCTGCCACTCCTGCCCCAGTCACTCTCCCTTCCCATGAAAAATAATCATTGGCGGTACTCGAGGAACTTCATCCATAAAAATGCAGAGAACTAGCGACGCCTGGCACTTGTCCCACCCATTTTGGCCCTTTGCCCAAATAGTCTTTTCCCCCACTCACGTCATACATCTTGCCATCTAAATACTCATATGAAATTGAAGTCTTGTCGAGGTTGCATATATTGGACTTCAAGAAGCAACTAATAGAGGCCTCAAGCGCAGTTTCTAGAAATTTAGTCAAGTAAGGCCTTGAGTTTCTCTGACTGAATCGGAGCCAGTTGAGTATCAAAGTAAGGTATTCAACTGAAACCGTTTGCGCATTTTTTGTCATGTTGTGTAAACTAATTCCATGTTAACCTAGGAATCGAGCAAATTATCCGTTACTGAACTGAAAGCCAGCTGAATTCCTATCAGGATACAGCTCAAGAAACCGAAAAACTGCCTGAACCTGAAACCATCCTCTCTGTACTATTCACCCCTGCCCTTGCCATTCCAGAAAGTCACTATATAGGATATCCTCAAGCTCTGGCCACCAGCATTGACTATGATTACCAATATCTAGGTCAAGAGCTTTCCCTTTTGTATTGATTCCTACTTTTTACATTGTGTCCCTTTTTTTTACCCATTGTCACGAACGTGGCTTAGCGAGGAAAAGGTTTTCATGTGACACATGGTTATGAGTCACAGGTATGTTATTGTTTTGCACGTATAACTCATTCGGGTTATATGACTTATTATGTGTGGGATTTGTGATGCTTTCGCACATGGCTCAAATATGAGTCATGGGACATGCGTCTGACGAGTGTGCCTTGCGGGTAAGCCGTACGCATATGATTTATGTTTCACACATGACCTCATTATGATGTCATGGGTTTCGTGCATATGACTCAGTCGAGTCATATGACTTGTTTATTGTGTTATGATTGGTTTATGAGTTTCGCACATGACCTTGCTATAAGGTCATGGGTTTTGAGCATGTGATCACTTTGGTCACATGACTAGTTTGTTTTGATTTGGTTTTACACATGTGACCACTTTAGGTCACATGATTAAAGGCGGGAAGAACACTATATAAGGAGGCCGATGCGGCCGAGGAAGATAGGTTCTTCACGCTTTGTTCTAAGTACTTTTCCTACATATTACTTTAACGAATATAAAACACCTTTACGATCTTTATCCTTATTGCAACATTATCGTTACGCTAAGAAGCACTTGTTATGAAGATGAGATAGAGAAAGCTTATGATAGGTGTTTCCAGTAGAAGACAGAGGTCTTGTACTATCGGTGACATAAGCAGAGGGCTAGAGCTATCGTAAGACAAGGAAAGAAAGGGAGAGGAAAGATAAGTATCGTTCCCCGTCGCCAAGAACTAACTATCTGAAAGGGGATCGTTACACCCATTCACTAATGGTTCGTTGTGGAATTTGGAATTTGTCCACCACTTCTTACTAGGTTGGTTTGCGAAATTTGTTTCGTCTCTGAAGAGGAATTTGCTCATGCTCGAGATAGATAAGAGTACGAATTTTCTGCTTATGGATGTAGATTCGCTCCACTCATACAATCAGATTGATGCTTTATTTATCCAAAACTCTTTCACTAATCGATTTAGGTTTTGGCCCACGATTTCCCTTACTGATTCGTCTTGCAGGTATTATGGATAAGACTTTAAGTTACAAATTAGAGTAAAGGAAATGGTGGAATTGAGATAATATACTGGTTGTTAATGCTCAACCTGGAATTCTACAGTATATTCTTCAACTTTATCTCACATTTATGATACTCTATTAACATAGCATTGTTTCATAGTTCTCGTATTTGGAGTCATCAAAACTTCTGAATCTATTTCAACTTCCTTATGTTCAAGCCTCTACTCTCTTTGATTTCACTCTCTATTCTAGAGCCATGACGATTTTCCAAAGAGTCATCCTACTCACTCATTTTGGAACTTTCCTTGTTCACAGTTTTACTAATTGAATTCTTGTATACAGACTCAATTTTATATCACACTAAGCTGAGACTTAATTTTCACATAACAACCCATCACTCGCCTCCCATGAGTTATACCTCACTTAATTCCCTTCCCTGTCAATTTGGCATCAACCAGACATTCTCTCTCTTTTTGAGATAGCAAATTGTAAGAGTTTTTATAGTACTCGAGTACGGAGGTACAGGGCATAAGCTATGTAGGCTCCACGAACAGGGGTAGGTCACTAGCAAGGATGAAAGTAGCAAATTAGGTATAGTAGCATAGAGTGAGTCTTGGGTAGTGATTCAAACGGTGGCCATCATGGCTGGAGAATATTTAGTATTCATGATCTATAATACATGTATAATATATGCAGTACAGTCATGTCCGGAAAGTAATAATACTCCTCCATTGCAATCAAGACCTCTCAGGCCACAGTAATTATCAACTCCTGGTAAGTAAAATATATAGTAAATAAAATCAAAAAAATTACTTTGGAAAAGTATACCCGCTAAAGTAAAACAATATCTATAAAAAAATAGCACATTTTGTTGTATAAGTATATTCTTAATAATAAGATATATACTGGTAATATTGGACTCAAATCTTCTCAAAAAGTATATATTTTACTATTCCAATCCACCTCTCTACACTATAACAGAACATATTTTCTTTTCTTTTAGTAACTTAAAATCCTAGAGATTATTTTGAATCTAATACTTTGAGATAAACATAACAAAGTAGTAAACATATAATATAAGTATTAATAGAAATAGCAATGATCCAAGTATGTGATTATTATTTCTAAAACACTATACTCAATCTCAAAACTACTATTGGGAGAAAGTATATCTTATAAATAATTTGTAAAATAAAATTGGCCTTAATTAGAGGTTGTTTTATACCAAAAGGTCATAGTTGAAACTATGTTATCTGATAACAATATAAATTATTCAAAAAGCTATTTTTGAAGTTTAACTATTAACTTAAATATTTAATCCAAAAACTGTCTATAATATAGAATTGAATAAGAGAAAGGAAGTTATTA